TAGATCTATGGTTAACTGAGTTCTGTTTTCAGTCTCTACAGTGGAATAAAGGACAGTTGCATAGAAAGGCGTATTACTATAACTTGTAGTAATTTCTAGATGGCCAGAGATATATTCAAAAGATCCCTTCCTTCCTTTGTGCCAAGAACTTCTACAAACTCTCCTTAAATGTTTTCGTCTACTCAGTCTATAGGGAAATTATATATGTGTATGTATTCATGCATATGTATATGTATACATGTACAGATATATACAGATGTGTGTGTATGTGTGTGAGTATTCATATGTATCTAGGTACCAAAATAGAACTTTGGAGGTAGTCATCTCCACTGGTTAACTACCCTCTATTTAAAGTAATCCATTGTAAAGCCTCGTTTAATTAGGGATAAGAACTAGAACTTGAACTTCATTGGTCTAGAGTGACAAGCCTGTAATTTTATTAGTAAGGTAACCTATCAATGCAAGACTTCACCTTCTCTGCAAGTTATAGTCTTACAGAGTTGCCACTCAGAGGTGAAGTGACTTACTTAGGGTCCCATAAACATATGTCAGAGGTAGACCTTGAACCCAGGTCTTCTTTGACTCCTTCCTGAGCCAGCTATCTACCTTAGTGCTCTGTCTGTCTTACAAACCTTAAAGACTTATATAAACGTAAACTGTAATCATTCTCATCATCCTCATTTTTATTATTACTGAAGCAGACATTTGTATCTCTTTTTGGACTTTTCAGAGGTTGCCATCTGACAGAAGCTGTCACAGGAATTGTGACGGGGCTGCGCCCTGCCTATCGGAGTCCTGGCTTCCAAGCAGAAAGTTGAGGGTCACAGTCTGTTGTGTGAAAACAAGGAAGTCTTAACTGACCTCTCCTCTGTGGACACGCAGCAACCATGGCTGGTTCGGCTCTCCTCTGAATGGCTAAGCGTTCCCGTGCACATCCTGTGCACGACCCTGACACGATGCCTGCATGCTATGAGGGGATCTACTGACTGGCTGTAGGTCTCTGATCATGCGATCCCAAGGTGCCTTGAGGGCTATAAAGGTCACACCCAGCTAACAATAAACAGGAGCTTCTGCCATCTTGCTGTCTCCCGCCTCATCCATGCGTCTCCGGGTTACTGAGCACTGAGCTGGTCTCATGCTCACCACTGCAGCGGCCGCGACAAGAAGCCATCTTGGTCTCAGCCCCAACTAGTGGAAGCAAGCAGTTGATGAAGTCAGTCTTCTATCAGTAGTGGTTCCTGGCGTAATAGTATTCCCTTTCTCTCAAGGGCAGTCAAGGATTTTGTGTTGGGGGTGTCCACTGCCAGTGACTGAGCTCAGAAGATGACATAGAATGAGGGAATCATAAAGAATTTCTGACAGATAATTGGGTTGTCTTATGTCCCTCCAGCTTCTCCTGATGCAGCCACGTTCTGTGGTTTGTTCTTGCCTGGACTTACATGTCTTGTTAATTATATCCTCTCTTATCAATGAGATCTATATTGCTATTCCTGGGTTACAGTTAAAGCAAAAGAAATTAACCAAACCAAGGCCCAGATGAACAGAAGGGACACCTCTAAGTGAATTGTCAGTTAATTTAAGTTAAGCATCTACTATGTGAGAAGCACAGAGCTAAGTGCTGGGATACAACGAGTAGCAAAAGACAGTCCTTGCCCTCAGGAAAATCATGATCTGATGCGGAGACGACATGAAAACAACCATATGCCAACAAGCTATATAGGTGATACATTGGAAATAATCAACAGGCGGAAGGTAATAAAAGTAAGGGGCAATGGAAAAGGTTGGGTTTTTGTTTTGTTTTCATTTTTTTGTTTTGTAGGAGGGATTTCAGCTAGAATTTGAAGGAAGCCAGGAGGTAAAGATGGAAGCATAATTGCCTACCTTTTCTGTCTCCCAGTGAGAGCCTTCATTCTTTATAAGTGGCACCAAGCTAAAAAAGGAAAGCAAAAAGGTAATACAAACTAAACCTCCCCCCTACCCTTTCCTTGGGGGCCTAAGTAAATTCTTTGCATATTTTGGAATATATTTCAATCTGTCTGACAAGGTTATTGTTCAAAAGTCCAATCAATCAAAAGAGTCAAAATCCAATTGCTGCCAATTGAATCATATTTTCAAGATATTAGAGCAGAAATTCACTCCTTGAAGGAATCTGATTGGGAATGTATCTATCTGTAAAGAGAAGATTCATCCTATAATGTGTCTTTCTTATAAACCAAAATTTTCAGGTTTTAAGATTTGGAGTGTGCTGCTGTTTCTATTAAATTATTATTATTATTATTATTTTAGGTATTTGGGGTTAAGTGACTTGCCCAGGATCACACAGCTAGTAAGTGTCAAGTGTTTGGTCTGAGGTGGGATTTGAACTCTGGTCCTGCTGACTTCAGGGCCGGTGCTCTATTAACTGCACCACCTAGTTGCCCCCTCTATTAAATTATTTTGAAGCAATCAATTAATAAACATTTATTAAATGCTTGTTCCAGACACAATGTTAAGTGCTGGGAATACAGAGACAAGAAAAAAATAGCCCCTGCCCTCAATGAAACTATATACATTTAGAAGCATATTAAATATATATATATATATATTTATATTATATATATACATATATATACACAATGAATATAAGATAGTGGATGGAGAGTATGAGGAGAAAGAAGATGGTAGTTGAGCTGAAGGAAACTAGATTCCAAGGGACTGAAGTGAGGAGGGCAAGCCTTCCAGGCATGTGGAGGGAGGGAGGTAGTGCAAAGACACAAAGATGGAGCATTAGGTGTGAAGAAGAACAAGTAGCTGGTAGGGTGGAGAGCAGGGTTCATTTTAGGGAAGAATGTGTAGGTAGAGAGGTAGGAAGGGGTCAGGTTTGAAAGGCTTTAAATGCCAGACAGAGGAGTTTATATTTGATCCTGGCAGCAATAGGGAGCCACTGGAGTTTATTGAGTAAGAGAGTGACATGATCAGATCTATGTTTTAGAAAAATCTCTAGGGCACTGTGTGGAGGATGGATTGGAGTGGAGAGAGATTTGAGGTAGGAAACCAAAGAGAAAGCTATTGTCATAGACCAGTATTAACAAGCTTGTCAGAAAGAAAAGACAGATCCGGCTGCCATACAGGCAGAAGTGACATGCATGCACATAGACTTACAGGATCTTAAGTTTTCACTTTTTTCCTGAGGCAAAGAAAGAAATGTATGGTTTGGAAATTCAGTGGGACTTAGAAAGGCCAGAGAAGGAAGAGAGGAAAGAGTAAATAGTGAGAGGAAGAAGAAAAGGGGGAGTTCCCTTCCCCAGTAGCAGTAGAGAAAAGGCTGAGAACAGGGTTTGGTGTTTTGTTTTGGTTTTGTTTGTTTTGTTCTTGTTTTTAAATAGCAATGGTACCAAGGGCAGTAGATGTGATGTGGTTTCCTCTCCCAGGCACATGGGGAAAAGTAGTGAAAGAAGGGGTAAGTGGAAAGGTATGGGACTACTTTTTATTGTGGCTGCTTACCCACGTGGCTGGAGTGCTTCCAAAAGTAGATGTGTGGAAGCAATGTGACTAACTATCCTCATCCCTTTTCCTTTACTCTCCTTTGGCTAGGGGTGACATGCCAGTTTTTGAGCTCATTCATTTATTCTACTGTAAGATATACACATATATATACACATATATATACACACATACACATGTGTATACATGCACACATATATACATATACATATATACATATGAATGAGAGCCTTCCCCAAAGGTCCATAATGAAAGTCAGACTCCTTAGTCTGAGCAACTGAAAGATTCTGAGCTGCCATTCAAATTCATGCTTTTGGGAACTTATAACCAGTGAAAGTATTTATAAATAGCTCATCATATATGCCTCTAGTTAGAGAGAAATTCTAACAGCGGACCAAGGATTAGGGTTCTTAACCTAGAACTATGAAAAAAAGATCCCACCTATGTGCCTTCTCATGAGCTTTCCCTCAGCCCTGTGCCTGGAATGAACTCCTTCTTCACCTCTGTCTCTTAGAATTCTTATCTTCTTTCATGGCACGTGGTGGGCACTTATATGTTGAATTGAATTGAAGGGAGATAAGGAGAACATTGATCATTGATTATAATTTTGGTTAGCCCATTTCCACAGGAGACATCTAAAAATTGATTTTCTTGTACTGCTACAATTAAGTAACACTTGGCAGAAAAATGAAGAATTATTTTTAAAAAATGTGAAAATATACTTAGCTTCAGGGATGCGGAACCTGTGGCCTCAAGGTCACGTGGCCTTCTAGGTCCTTGGGTGTGGCCTTTTGATTGAGTCCAAGTTTTACAGAACAAATCCTTTTATTAAGGGGATTTGTTTTGTGAAGTTTAGATTGAGTCAAAGGGCTGCACTTGAGGACCTTGAGGGCCACATGTGGCCTCGAGGCTGCAGGTTCCCCACCCCTATGATAGGTCATCTCTACCACTAGGCAGCAGAGGTAGCCACTTAGGTGTTAGGATTGGAAGGGACCCAAAGGGTTCTTCCCTATCCAATCACATTTTCCCCACTTCCTGTGGTTTTCAAAAAATCCTACCCAGTCAGTCAGACTTACAATGGTTCCTTGGGCTCCCTGCTCCGGTCATCTTCCTAATAGCCACGGCCAGCCAGTGCCACGAGTTCCCACCTGACATGTTAATTAGGCCGGCTCCAGGCCCAGGAAATTAAGAATCCATTGCTCAGAAGTTCAACATCAATTCTTCTTTTCTAATTTGTTGTTGCTCAGTGGAGTCCAACTCTTTGTGACCCCATGGACCATAGCATACCAAGGGATTTTCTTAGCAAAAATACTGAAGCGGTTTGCCATTTCCTTTTCTAGTGGATGAAGGCAAACAGAGGTTAAGTGGCTTGCACAGGGTCACACAGCTAGTAAGTGTCTTTGGCCGGATTTGACCTCACAGCTTCCTTACTCCGGGCCCAGAGCTCTATCTACTGAGCCACCTAGTTGCCTCTATTCCTTTTTAATAGTACTGCTTTTATATCCCTGGTTCCAGAGAGTGGGCATTTACTTCTCATCTGTGTACCGGCCTGCCTCTCGTCAGATGCTGGAGCCTGCAAGCTTGGACATGCTCAGACGGTCAGCATCTTCCTGACACTGCTCTGCCTGCCCACTGAGACATCTACTTAAAACCTTCCAGCAGACTCAAGGCTGTGCTCAAACTGGCTCAGCAGAACCAATTGCTAAATTTCACTTCAGCAATCAGCAAAGCTACAAATCAGGGCTTGGTTTATTGTTTTATTTAATGTCTAGAATTAAGAAAGTGATGAAGAAAACATTAATAATGCAGATTAACCTGACATTGGACAGCAGCTGTTAACCATTTACCAGCACACTGGTGAGCCTGGCCAGTATCGGGTTCCTGGCCATCCCCATTCTAGTCTGTCCTGCTGCCAACGAGACTCCAGCTCTAACAGATCTTCAGGTTAAAAATATTGCATTTCTACAAATGCTTCAAAATGCAAAGATGTTACCTGAGCTGGAGAAGGAGGGAGAAAGTAAAATCAATCCATTCACACAGATTAGTTTATGAGAGAACAGAATCAATAAAGGGTGAGACACAAAACAAGTCAGTTTTGGTGAGGCAGTGAGAAACTGGAACAATAATCCCACAGTTTATTTCTGTAATATTTTATACTTAAGATCAGAGAATGGAAACTGGAAAGTACCTTGGCAATCCTCTGCTACACTTCTCTCATTTTTCCAAAAGAAAGGGAGGCTCAGAAAATGTAATGAGTAGCCTGAGGCAGGGTAACAAGGTTCTTCTAAGGCTAAACACTGAGCTTTCAGATACAAGAACAAAGGGAGACACTCCTTTCCCTCAAGAAATTTACAATCTAATGGGAGAAGACAATATACAAAAGGAAGCTGAAAGGGAGGATGGAAAGTACTCACATGGACACATGGTAGTCAAGTCCAGAAAGTCAGAAACCCAACCAGGGGGGAATGAAAGTTGGCCAGAGTGGACATCTCCCCAAAATGGAGGCACCAGGAAAAACTCACCAATGAGAAACGGGGGCCAACATGGTAGAGGATGTTCCAGGGTGAGAAAAACCAATCTTACACAGGTAGTAAGTGGAAGAACCAGGCCTCATACTCAGGTGCTGTCACTCAAAAATATTTCGTTTGATCCCTATACTATGGCATAGGGTTGGAGATAGAGAAATAAGACCAACATTTTTCTTTTCATTTTACAATGGGAAAACAAGTCCAGAGAACTCAAGCAACTTTTCCAAGTTTAAACAGCTAGTTAGTAGCAGAGCCAAGACTGGAATCCAGACATCATTGCACTAGCCAGTGAGGCCAGGCCGGGAGGTCGGGGCACAGGAGAAGTGAGTGGGAGGCCTCGCCTAGAGCTCGGTAGCACTATTGCAAAAACATCATTTTTCCCAGGGTGCTTATGAGCTATTCAGCCAAACAACTTCAAATTTGTTCCTTTTTTATGCTTTTTTTTTTCTTTTGGAAGACTTCTCAATAGAGCTGCCATAGCTCTTCCTCAAATGACTAAAGACTTAGTTTAACAAAAAAACAAAAAAAACAAAACAGTCCCATTGCATAGCCTGTGAGTGGGTGAGCTAAAGGTCACACAGCTCTTCCCCAAATCTCAGTTCATCATTTTTTCCCATTCAACAACAAAATATACAACACACCCAAATTAACCCATAACTATGTGAACTCACAGTTCAAAGTCTCTGAAATAGGAGGCAGAGAAACCAAGTTGTCTCCCTGTGGAGGGGTGGGGTGCCCCACGGAGCAAGACAATGGTAGCAGAGTATCGAACCCCAGCTATGCAGATAACAAACCTTGACAGGACTTCAAAATTTTATTAACCAGAATGCAAAGCAACTTAGAGTCCTACTTATTGCTCTGACCATCCCTATATATCGATTTCCACTTCCCATCTTGAAGCCTGACTCCTGGCCAAGGCCCTTCCTGTGCCCCAGCATGTGTTTATTTTAATTAAAGCAAATTAAAATTAGTCTTGCTTTTGAGATTTTCTTGAGATAACTACAGACCCCAGGGCTGGGAATCCCCAAATCTCACTATCATACAGCAACATGGGTAGAATGTTAATATTTTTAAAGTGGGACTTTTTAACATCTAGTTAGAATAAATAAATAAATAAATTTCCGTATTAGTCATTTGATCTTTTGGATAAAAGCACTGACCTGTTGAAATATACATACTGGGGTAAGGGAGAGCTATAAACAGTAAACCATTTTATGCTACTCAGGGGTAGCTAGGTGTCACAGTGTATAGCCTGGGCCTGGAGTCAGGAAGACTCATCTTCCTGAGTTTAAATCCAGTCTCAGACACTTAATAGCTATGTAACTCTGGGCAAGTCACTTAACCTTCTTTGCCTCAGTTTCCTCAACTGTAAAATGAGCTAGAGAAGGAAATGGCAAACCACTCCAGTATCTTTGCCAAGAAAATCCCAAATGGGGTCACAAAGAGTCAGATGTGACTGAAAAGACTGAACGACAAAAAAAAATTCAGTTCATAGGATCATCTTTCTGACTTGCAACTCCATCACTTTATTGAAGCTTCTTTTTCCAGGGTTACAAATGTAGTGGGAAATTAGAGATCAGTGTCTGCTGGTGAATATAAAGTTCCTAAAATGTGAGCCTCTGGAAGCATGAGGATGTGAATGTAGCTGAAAAGGCACCTCTTCTTCTCTACACATCCTCCAGTGGAAGAGGAAGCTGAAATCTCACCAAGAGATGAGAAATGTCATCAAGACAACTGGCCTAGAGCGTATTGCTGCTGCAAGCAGCATTTGAAATTTTAGCCAGTATAGTGTGGCAACAAGAGTGCTGCCTCTGGTCTCCACTGCCATGAGGGCTACAACATCCGTAGCCCCCCGAGTTACCAACTGAGAAAGAGTGGGGAGGAGCTACTGAGGCTCAGTACTGCTGCTGTTGTTGCTACAGCCACAAAGGCTGGAGTGGGGGGTTGGGGAGGGATTGGAGAGCAGATGCAGGACCACTCTGAGCCTCTACAGGAATTACAAACGATGGAACTCCCTTTCCCCTCTCCCTCCCCAGGAGAAAAAAGTTTAAATTTACATTGCTGCTCATCCAGTCTTTAAAGGCCAATATTAGGATAAAACTGTAGTCGACCCAATGCATTATTGGTCTGTTTGACTCTCCTTTGCTGAGAGAGAGACAGAGAGACAGACAGAGAGACAGACAGAGACAGCAAGAGAGACAGAGAGAGAGAGAGAGACAAAAGAAACAGAGAGACAGAGACCGACACAGGAAGAGATAGACAGAGAGGGAGCAAGAGACAGACAGAGATAGAAAGAAAGAGAGACAGTGAGAGAAAGTGAGAGAGAGAGAGAGAGAGAGAGACTGGAGAGACTGTAAATTACTCAGGTTTTCCCAGCTGGAGGCTCAAGATGAATCAAAGAGATCTTACTAATAAATATTATGATGGCTCCTCAAAAGCAGGGAAAAAATTAATTCAAATGATTCAAGACTATCATGAATTCTCTTGGCATTAGTGTGGCCCCAGTGTTAAGGGAAGGGGAAACTTTCTCCCAAAGCTCCTCTGAGACACTAGCCTCAGACAATTTTCTTTCCTATTGTTCCATTCTCACTGCAAGTTCAAAGATATCCCTGTGGCCCTGGATTGGAGCCGAAGATGGAGACTAGAGACAGAAACACATCTAAAAGGAAGAGTTGGGAGAGTGACTCCTCTCACACAATGGTGAAAGTCAGGTGGAATATTCAAGTTTCCCATGAGTTCAATGATCAGCTTTTTACAGATGACTCCCAAATCTATACCGTAAGCCCTAACTGTGCTCCTGAATTTAAATCCCCATCTTCATATCAAACTCAACTTGTTCCAAAGGGGCCTCATGCTCTTCCTCTAAACATGCCCCTCTTCTGCCCTTTCCTATTCCTGTGGAGAGCAGTACCTGCAATTGACTGTGTAGTTGGAACTGGGGGCATCTTCAAAGAGACCTTTGTTGACCTCAGACATTCTGACTTACTCTGTTCCACTTCTCTGCTCTTAGTTTGATTCCTTCAGTGACAGCATCTGGTGAGAGACAATGCTCTAAGGAGAGAGGCATTGGGACTCCTCTGAGGCTGACATTTTGCCTCTTGAAATAGGCCCTTGACCTTTGCATTTTATTTCCTTATAGGTGATGGTTTAGAAATTTTGTGAGTTGTTAAAGATCAGGAGAGTGAATCTCCAGGAGCACAGAAGTAGGAGTCTATGAAGGGTTTTGTCATCAACTTAGCATCATCACCCCAAGGTGCAGAGAAGTAACCTTCAGGGCCTATCCCAATGGTAGCTGAGACAATGATTCATCTGTCAATGATGCTATATTTAGATGTGAAGTTGGTGGGATCAACACGACATAGAAATTGGGCTAAATTTGAACTCATTCTCCTCAGAGACTGAGGTGGGGTAGGGGAAAGTGTGTCCCGGGGGTGTAAGAGGGAAATATTTGTCTTTTGTTCTTGAGTTATCTTCAAAATAAATAAAGGTTTGTCAAAGCTAATTGATGTGTGGTTAAATGGAATGAGTCATTGGCATTTAACAAGCAAAAGGAGGACACAATCAGTGGGGACTCAGGTTGATAACATTAGAAATGAGGCACCCACAAACCTGAACTCTTTCATTCTAGCTTCATGTAGTATTTTTTTCTTTGACCAGGGAGCTCTAGATTTTGGTTATGACATTCCTGGGAGTTTTCTACATGGGATTTCTTTTT